GACGGCAATACGAAAGCAAGAGCACGGTATGCTGAGTTCACTTACCTGTCTATATGATCTATAAAATTAATTTTGCTGTCTAAATGAATTCCCAAATCTCTGACTACCGTAACGTCAGCCAATGTATTACCTACAATGTTGTTCTGGTCTGCAATCCGCATTCTGTACCCCACAGCACGACACTAATTGAATGCGCTACCTTCAGTCCGCAGCTCTGCTATTTGTGAAACCGAGAAGGTGAGAGGTTCGTGCCAAGAGAGGCGCACGTTACGTGACGCGGCGGCACGAACCCTCACGTAACCATTCCGACTATGGACGTGATAATCGCTACTCCAATATTACGTAGACGTAAATCCACAATCATGCGACCTTATTACTTTTTCCAAATGCAATACTCGTAAAGTTTGAAGTTTGCATTGGTATCTTGATTCATGAGAAGTAGTGGATGCGGTGGCTAGCGAGGTCGTCGTTTCGCTACGAACACTCGGTAGCGGCAGTGGCGAGTCTAGAATTTGTTGGATCGTGCAGAATGCAAGAACAGCCACTAACTACTGGCCAGATAATGCAAGGCGGACACCAGGGCTGCATCGATAACGGTATTAGTTTGCACGTAAGAATTAAATAATTACTAGATACTTCACCTAATGTAAGTGAATCTATGTACAGTTGTATTAAAATTTAATTCTCAAATTGATTTTATGTTTTACTTATCTAATCGAGCTACTGTTCATCTATCTGTACACACTCGTATGTATGTATGTATATGCGTCTGTCTGTCTAAGCCGTTTATCTTAGGACCTCGTGTAAGCTAGCTGAAACTGAAATGAACTATGGTTTTCATATGTCGTACGTTATCTTGTTTATGGACCAATTTAAGGAACTTTATAGTTAAACATTTATAACCACTACCCCTGACGCAAACGCTATGACTTCCTCAAAAGCACCTTACCACGCGATACTGGAAAAAAACCAGATTCCAGATTGTATGTGCCACATGAGCCGCGTCGCGTGGAACCTGGGTTTTCCCGTATGAAATAAAGCAGCATCTCGAGCCGCGCTTTCAAAGAGTGAACACAGAATTGCGTCTCGGTGTGAGCTGACCCTGCAACCGAAGCCGGCCAGCGGAGGCGTCGCGTGGGGCTCCTTCTATATCTACATACAGCAATGTGATATCAAAGCTTTCATTCTGCGGTTTGAAGGCGTACCTATTGCGGATGTGTGAACCGTAAAGTGAGTTAACGTATAGAGGAGGTAAAATGTACGTTAGTACAGTAACAAGAAATAAGGTCATGGACAATAAGATAAATGCTAATAAGGAGCATACATAATACTAAATATTCCCATTATAATCCAGTTATTTGTTAATTATTCGTTTATATTTTTAAATACTTAGCAACTATCCTAAGACATACGACGTTCTCACGTGAATAAATTGAGAAAAGCTCTAGTAGTTGCAAGTCACAACGGGACTCTCAACTTTAGTAATATTGCAGCGGTAAGACCCCTCTTTGAGGAGTGGCTTGAGAGACGCCACGGCGTCCTCACCTTCCGCCTGACGCAGGTGTTTACCGGGCACGGCAGCTTCGGTAGGTTCCTGTTTCGGATCCAGCGGGAGGAAACGCCCGAGTGTCGTCATTGTGAGGACCTCCTAGAGGATACGGTGAAGTATACGGTAGCGGTATGCCCTGCCTGGGCTGAGCACCGCCGTATCCTCAGGGAAGTGATCGGCGGCGGCGACCTCTCGCGCCCGGCCTTAGTCGAGGCCATGGTGCGGAGTGAGAGGAACTGGGACGCCGTCTCCTCCTTTTGTGAAGCAGTCATGCTCGCAAAGAGAGAGGCGGCCCGCGGGAGGGAGCAATCCTCCTCCTCACGCCCCAGCAGCCGCAACTGGCGACACTACGGGCGTCGGGGATCGAGGGACGATCTCCGGCCACCGTAAGCACGGGCCTGCGGTCGGCGAGTAAGGGCAGCTCGCCGCCCGACCAGAACCAGGCCCGAGCGTACGGCGCGTAGCGTTCCGCGCGCGCCTCAAAGAGTCATTCGACCACCACAGACGGGGCCCTAAAGGGCTGATGTTCAGCCGGGGTTGCGGGGTAAGCGCAATGAGGTACCGCGACCTCGGCACACAGAGCAGGAGAAGGAACAGGGGGGTTTTTAGTCAGTAAGAGTCTGACACTCCGTCCTGCCCGGCCCTAGGCGGGAGAAGTCATTTGATAATTTTCCCCTCACAAAAAAAAAAAAAAACTTTAGTAATATTAATATTTTTATTGTTTTTTTGTAACAGCCTGAAATGTCCCAACAATAATATTACAGTAAGATACTCAAATGAAAACAAAAGAAAACCTTCAAATTCAATGCAACATAAACAAAGAAAAATCGCCAACTTAATGGTTTTGATGTGGTGTTGCTAAAGGACATGGCCAAAAAAGTACATTCCACGTACACGAACAAAATTAATACACTGTAAAATACAAATAGAAATATGAATTATTACGTAGTTTTTAGCCTCTCCAGACCTGACAATTTTTTTTTTTTAAATAAAACGTTGCCCCACACTAGGATTTTCTCCTGTGTCGTAGGTGCGTTTACAAACATACAATTTCACATGCACATCACACCCAGACCCGGAACAACACTCTGTGGATCACACAAAGACTTGTTCCGTGCGGGAATCGAACCCCCGACACGTTGCGCGGCAGCCAGTTGCCCAGCCACCGCGCCAACCGTGCAGTCAATCAAAATTATTATAAAAAAAATGTAAAAGTAATGCAACAAAGTCAACTTATCGTTTGTCAAGTTTCGCCATAATAGTCCATAGAGAAAGATAAATAAAAAGACGTTCCAATTCCAAACCACGTGTCTTAAACTACACTCGTAGAAAACGTGTGATATGATCGACAAATGCATTACACTAGGAACATTTTATTCATACGAAACTGTATTCATTGATTTTAGTTGCATTTTAAAATATACTCATATTATAATAATATTATGTTTTATTTTTATCCAATTCACCAAAAAAAAACTTAAACGAAACGGAACGTGTTTGGCACTTTTGACAGCGTGTTTTTGTTAACCTTGCTAATAATACTGGAGTAACTGTTTTGCGTTTTGGATTTGTTTTGTGGATTACGATGAGGTGCATCAACTGCGGAATAGGCGTACAAAGGCTGCAGAGGCGTCTTATATCCTCGCTTTCTGCACACCACCAAACAAAACTTTCACGTTGGTTAACCATAGCTCAAACCCAGGAATGAAGTCGGAATAGTATAATAACTTAGTCTGTTTTTTTATGTTTTATAATGGTATGCGATTTTAAATAGTGCATCTTTTTTTAAGTTGCCTTTGGGGACATTCATTTGTCAACCACGCTTCTTATTATTGAATACTGAGGCTGGTGAACATGAGACACTACTGGGGCATAACATGGCTTGCCTTGGTTGTGGAAAATCACACTATAATGTCAGTATGGACTCTCCATTGCTAGCTGGCCTAATATCACAAAATACTATTAATGTGGTAAGCATTTTGTTTTTTATTCATTGTTTTATATATGTACTTGTATTTATCTATATTAATCTATAAAAAATTACTCATAGTAGGTATGTGTGATTATAATATATAGGCATGTTGTAACATAATACTTCTCACTGTACAATAACATAAAACTTGAAAACATGTGTTTATTCTAACTGGGGTTTATTTTCAGACCTCAAGAAGCAACTATGTTTGTCATGTGTGCTGTATGCGGGCAAATAGACAGATAGTGCAGGACTTATCACGAAACTTGCAGGAATTGGGTTCGGACAACAATGCAGCAGCCCCTTATATTCAAGTGGTTAGCCCACCAGAGCCACCACCATTACCACCTGTTTTAAGCAGGCCGCTTCAAATGGAAAGTACTACCATATTATTACCCAATTATACAGAATATATATTACAGAAGTATACACTTTATAATAAAAATATAAAAGTGAATTATTACGTAGTTTTATTTTATTTGTTCTCCTTAATAAATAAATAATTATTCTTTATACATATTCTATTGTTTTATTTTATAAATAAATAAATAAATAATTAAAACGCCATAGTTTTTAAAAGCAAAATCTCATTTCGTGCACTTATGGCCAGTAATCTGACTAAAGGTTTAGTAAAACTATTCTCGTCTTGTTTGTTATAATTACGAGTTCTTCGTGTGTTTTATTTATTGCAATTTAATTTTATAATATTCACGAATGTAAACACCAAAAATCATTGATGTACATTGAATTCAATAACTATGCAAACGCCCATACAAAAGTTGGCCATGTCCTTTGCGAGTTACATAAAACAGTTTCAAGTGTCACCCCGTCGACCAGCGCGGCTCGGCGGGCGCAGCGGGCCCGAGCGGGCTCTGGGCAGGGCGGTGCAGCGCGCGGCGGCAGGCCACGGTCACTGGAACGCGACCGGCGCCGCGTGCTTTTGGCCGGGCTGCAACTGCTCCAAGGCCGTGACCGGTTTTACAACGTTTTCGGTTTAGATGTTAATAAGTTATGTGTGTCACAAATGCTACGTCGGCGGGGTTCTTCGTTACTGCGATTGCGACTGGTGAATAATCGGTACTTCAAAGGCCTGTCGGGGATATACAGATTTGAGGATCCTGATTTGGTTTTTGTTTAATTATTTTATTCGACTTTTAAGCTCTTGAAATTGTCTGTATCTCATCGAAAAAGCCCAATAATGTATTTAGGTTTGATCAACCCTTAAAAAACGATATCATTAAATTATTGACCAATTTGTTGTAGCGAGTTTATATTCCCGTGAAGCTGTAACAATATGCAGTCAAAGTTCAATATTAATATAAAAGATTGTAGGATTCGAAAGCACCGACACGGATCCAATGGCTGACAATATTTTACAGGCGAGTCATTAATAACGCAAAGACCACTTGCGGTAGTGAAAATTTGTGTGTCCGCTAGACAATGGCCCGGGGCACGAGAACACGATGCAGAATAACTTACCAGCCGCTCCTGTGACGTCACAGAGACGCCGCTAGCCTGCGAGTGACATTCAAGGTTGCGGGGCGGCAAAATGCAAGTCATTGGTGTATCTCATGAAAGCTGACATTATAGATCGAAATCCTAATATTGAAGTTCACTTGTGCTCCACAAAAACCGTGTTAATTTTTAATCACCGACCCCACTAGGATTATTTTCTGTGTTGTGAATGAGTTTACAAGCAAACAACATTTCTGTAAAAGCCGGCTATCCGAGCGATATCCATATAGGTATATATATGTGTGTGTATATATTACTTGCCCCGTCGCGAATTTCTGAGGAAACTATTTGAAATGATAAATATCTTAGCGGTGCTATGTCAGCTTATATAATATGGAAATATTATGTACGTGAGGAAAAACATACAATTATTTAAAAGAGAAGCGATGCGCATAATTTAATAACAAAGGCAAAGATAGACTAGCTGTGCTACGATTGGTCTATCCAAAGTACCTACAGAAATTATTAATGGCGTTGTGCGTGAGCTATTATTACAATGAAACTCGAAGTAATGAAAGAAAAATATAAAACCAATATAAAACGCGAAATGTGTAGACAAGCATACCTACTATTGACCAACAATACGAGTTCATAAAAGTTCTTCCCTATACGAAAACCTCTAAATCCTTAATCGACAAAAGGTCGGCAACGCCCTCGTACTTCTCTGTTGTTACGGGTGTCCATGGGCGGCGTTGATTGCTTACCATCACGTAATCCGTAGGTATGCTCGTTTGCCGATCTATCACATAAAAAAATACCACACACAATACCCATTAGCCGGGGTTGCGGGTTAAGCGCAATGAGTCACCGCGACCTCGGCCCAGGAGAAAGAACGGGGGGGATTTTAGTCAGTAAGAGTCTGACACTCTCTCTCGCCTTACCCTGGGCGGGAGAGGTCATTTGATGATTTTCCCCTGACAAAAAAAAAGACAGTACCTGTTGTATTGTGCCCAGTAGGTATATGGCAATAGGCTGAAGTTACAATAAGGTGTAGGTATTATAGAACTGGTGAAGATGGGTGCCTATAGTAGGTATACTTACATTGCGTTTCGTTATTGACACTATCCCCTACCCTTTCGGGGAGAGAGTCTTTATAATGTTGTGGCAAATATTTGTGTTGGCCGAAATTTAAATTACCAAACTTATTAAGTAGGTATACATATATGCGCTATTCCTCACTTTTTTTAAACTTTATAGCCACGTTTGTCTAATGCATAGTTAAGACACACGGAGACAAAATTTGCTTTTTAGTGTGTGTGTGTTGTAATTAATAAACTGAAAAATAACATCAAATTAAAAAAAACTCCAGACAGAAGCTACCGAAGCTGCCGTGCCCGGCAAGCACCTACGTCTGGCGGAAGGTGAGTACGTCATTGCGTCTCTCAAGCCACTCCTCAAAGAGGAGTCTTACCGCTGCTATAACAGCGTGCCCGGCCCTCGGTTGCGACAGACGTTGCTTCCACTTAGCCATGAGATCGCGTCAGAGCTCGTTCCGCAACGCACTAATTTGGCGCAGCAGAGGATCCGCGCCCCGGCGACCCGCTTCTGCTCGCAAACTGTAAACGCGCGCGAACGCCTTCGCTTCCAGATCCCATGGCGGTGATCCGGCAAGGCGGTTTGCTGCCTCCACGGCGTTTGTGTTGGCTTCACAATTTTTGCTTGGTTTTGTCTGCTACTTTTATACATCTGTTATCTGCAGATTCACTCAGTAATATAAAATGTACTCTGTGGATTCACCGTCAAACTACTACAGCCCTACTACCTAGCACACTCACTAGCACTACCACCACAGATGCTACAAAATTCAATAACAGTGGCTAACACTGAGCAGCATTCCGCGACACGCGACTCGGCGACTGTCGCGCTACTACTCAGTGTCGACAGTCGCCGAGTCGCGTGTTGCTCATGAATATGGGCCTCTAGCATGGCTTGAAACTAGTCGAGTATCTCGTCAAATTATAACGTGAGTAAGCCGAAAACATAATAAATAATTTAGAATGTCTCACGAAAGTTATAATAAAAAAGAGTGATACATTTCAGATATCGTGAAACAAATACTTGGTACAGTAAAACTTGGTTAAACTTGGCTCCATAACTGGAATTCGTGTACAATTTGGCACTGAATTAGTCTTGTTACTGGGAAATCCTTTTTTTTACCGGAGAAAATCATCAAATGACTTATTCTCTCATTTTCATTCTATTGAAATGACATCATTTATTAACCAAAGCATATGAAGCAAAATCTTACGTTAGATATTGCATGACTACAACATTAAAAAACTTCTGATGTCTGATAACTTAAATGACATGTCATTTAATTTAAGTTTTTAAAGTTTGATAATCAATTTATATTTTTCCTTATTTAATAAAACTCATAATTTCACCGCACGTCGCACCTTTATTACTAAAATAACCAGTACCCATTTTCAATGGAACTCTCTATAAATGAGACGGACATTAATTTATATACCTATTGATAGGTAGCTGAGACACTGAAATACTTTTATTTATGTAAACGACATGGCATGGCAGGCCCCTTAATAGCTCACTTAACCTGTTTGTATTACAAACACCATAGAGTACCGTCTGTCTATGGTACCGATATGTAATGTTCAATACCAACATAATAATTGAAAACATAACCTAAAAATCTTAAATAACGAAGATTTTGCATGTATTGTAAACAATTACTTTAATTTAATTTTACGATATTATAGTTATGGAAAACATGTCAATAATTAACCCACCAATCTATACAAAAGACATCAATAATTATTCTGTCTTAACTTTGACGTCTATTTTCGCGGTCGCTGAACGTTGAATCTTATATAGAAACGTACTGAATCCTGTTGACGTTTACACTTTTGGTTTAAAATATTTTCAAGAGAGTACTATCAATTTCTTATAAGTACCTATCACGGAAGAGACAGCGTAGGTAAGTCGCCCAAAATAATCATTTTCATGTTATTTCTGAGCAAAGGTAGTAAAGCACTTCCGTTGGAACAGGAAAAGGAAGTGTATTTTATGGCGGCCTTAGGCATGGGTTTAGAAACGAGCTTGACAAACTGACATCCATATCCTCATATCCTGTTAAATTTCGATCAATAATAATGATTTGAAAAGCGCGAACGGAAGAATCTTCAAGAATTATTCGTATGCTTAGAGAGATATCGTTTTACTATAGAATGTATTTACACGTATTAATTATGATAACTATTTTGTTACTGGCAGTAGAAACTGAAACTGTAAGGAAATTATAGTTAAAATTATTTTTAAGATAGGATACTTTTCTATCTTCAAGTTATTAAAAGTATTTACTGCATAACATTATGTTATGTAAGCATAAATGCACAGAACACAAGAAAATTACCATAAAATTGATAGTGATATATTTGTAACTTGTAAGACAAAAGATAGAAAAAACAACTACTGTGTGTTTTATGATGAAAATGTAAATAGGAAATTAGTAAGCCTATGTTGCTTGTAGTAATTGTACAAAGTACTTTCAGATGTGCCAGAATGACCTCAGACCTGTGTGCGGATGATGTAGTTGTGCGCATTACTACTCCACAGATAATTACTGTAAGTTTATATATTACTCCTATATTTTTGCATTTACATTGATTAAAACGGTGATTCTAGTCATAAACTTTCTCGTTTTTTTATGCTGGACTTAAAATCACTAGGTGCTGAAAGTCTGATGAATGAGATGAAAGCCGCTCAGGGGCTGTTTAAATTTTTTCTAACTTCCTTTGACTAACTAGAAGTATTTGCTTAGTTATATATTCATTACAATTTGCAGTTTTTTCTATGAATGCTAACTACAATTGAAATATAATATGCTAATGAATTTTTTGATGCACTATTGTAGTTTCTTTTTAAATAAAGCAGTTTCATGTGACATTTCATAAAATACTTCTTACCTATGTTTTGTTTGAACTTGATATCATTGAAGGCAAAACTCTACTCAGCACCTTATGGTTTATTGTTTTTTTATATGGGAATTTGCCATATCCATATAGGATAGCCATAGGAACCGCCAGCCTTAGAACTATAGCTACTTAGGCTGGGTCTGGGTACCTTTTTCAGTGTACGTACATACCTACCTACATATGTACATAGAGTACTTCAAATTAATTGGAAAAGTTTTATAGTTTAAAAATATAACGAATTTCTATATCTGTAGGATATTACGGGGCAAAGTTTTTGGCCAGACAATTCAAATGAACTTGATACTATCTTAAATACAAACTTTACCTGTTTATCCGTATGTATTAATATTGGTCATGGGCAGGGACCATATTATTTTCATAGGTATTATATCTACCAGCCCAAAACCAACCACAAAAATAGCCATATAATTTTCTACTATATTGCACAATAGTCCTACATCATTGGGAGCATTTTCATAGTCTGCCAGTACTTATAGTGCAGTTAGAAATTCATCTTCTAATATTGTATTCCTTTTTTTTATATCAAGAGGTGCATTAATACTTATGATGAAAGGCGTGCTAGTTATAATATCAAGACTGGTCGATCTGAATTGGCTGAAAATTGATGGAGACGTAGGATACCAGGGATACCAGGAGACTGGTTCTAAGCACCTCTCAAAGAGACTAAAACAACTTTAGGTTTGTGTTTCTTCTTAATGTAGGATGAAAGTACCTAGAGTTCTGAATATGAGTCGGGCTTTTTAGGGCCGTATACATGAAGAAGGTTTCAGTCGCAGACGGTGGTGGCGAGCGGCGCGGGCGGCGCCGGGGCGCGCGTGGCCGCCTCCGCCGCCGTGGAGCTGGGGCGGCGACTGCTGGTGGCGGCGCGCGCCGGGGACACGCAGCTGGTGCTGGACCTGATGGCCAAGGGCGCGCCCTTCACGACGGACTGGGTAAGTGCGGGCCGCGGGCGGGGCGGGCTGGCGCGCGACGCCGGCCGGCCCCTACAAGCGCGCTGCGCAGCTGGGCACGTCGGCGCTGCACCTGGCGGCGGGCGGCGCGCACGCGGCCACGTGCGCCGTGCTGCTGCGCGCCGGCGTGTCGCGCGACGCGCGCACCAAGGTGGAGCGCACGCCGCTGCACGCCGCGGCGGGCGCGGGCCACGCCGCCGTGGCGCGCCTGCTGCTGGACGCGGGCGCGGCGGCCGACGCGCGCGACATGCTGCGCATGACGCCGCTGCACTGGGCGGTGCAGAACGGGCACGCGGCGGCCGCGGCCGAGCTGCTGCGCGCGGGCGCGGACCCGACGCTGCGCAACAAGTTCCGCAAGTCGCCGCTGGAGCTGGCGCGCCGCCTGCGCCGCGCCGACCTCGTGCGTCTGCTGGAGGACGCGCTGCGCCAGCGCGAGGCGGCGCGCTCCGTCTCGGCGCTGGTCGACGGTATCCATACTATTTTCTCTCCTACTTACCATTTTTTGTTTGTTTGCTTTTAACGACACAATTTCACATACACATGACATTCACACCCAGAACATAAAGTGGATCACACAAGGGTTGTTCCGTGCGGGAATCCAATCCTCGACACGTTACGCGGCAGCTAGTTGCCCAGTTACAGCGCCAATCGTGTAGTCAAAGCCATTATATTAAATATGGAATGTTTACCAATCAACTTACCATTCCGATAAGTTGTTTTTATACACTACTAAAGAGACACTACTCTCACGCGATTTTCCGCTGCCCGACTCTATTTGATTATAGTGTGATGTTACTCAGGAACACTGTAGCTATCTATCAGTGAAAGAATTTTGGTAATTCGACCAGCGGATCCAAAGATTTCCTACATACAAACTTACAAATTTTACCTCTTCATAATAATATATTAGTATAAGTAGATAATGATCGATCTTCCTTACAGAACAAATGGCAGAAGTATCCACCGAAGAACCTGAGATACAAACATTTGACGCGGTACAAAGTGAGTCAGACCCTGCTGTCGGTAGCTAATAGATACCTAATCAATGATGCCTGTTTATAAATATAATTTGCAACCATTACAATATTGTAGGAATCCAAGATATGAAACAATTGAGGTCAAAGCAGACTGAAAAGACAGTAAAAGAAGAATCCAAAATGGAGGTATGGGATGTGCATTTTCTCAGTGGTATGCCTCGCCTTGCTTAGACATACTCCGAGTAACGTTGATATGTGGCGTAGGGCGCGGCACGGGGAGTCGAGGGCGCGGGGCGCGCGGATAGCGAGGAGGCTGGCGGTACCAGCAACACTAGCGGCACCAGCGGCGCCAGCGGCACCAGCGGCACCAGCGGCGCCAGCGGGGCGGGCGAGCTCCTGCGGCGGCACGGCATCACGCTGCTGCCGGCGGAGGCGGGCGGCGCCACCGTGCTGGCCGCGCTGCAGTGCGGCCGCACCGTCGTGCTCTCCGGTACCTCACTACTGCATCTACTCACACTCCTTCTCACTCCCACCCTTGCATCCAATGGCACGGCATCACGCTGCTGCCGGCGGAGGCGGGCGGCGCCACCGTGCTGGCCGCGCTGCAGTGCGGCCGCACCGTCGTGCTCTCCGGTACCTCACTACTGCATCTACTCACACTCCTTCTCACTCCCACCCTTGCATCCAATGGCACGGCATCACGCTGCTGCCGGCGGAGGCGGGCGGCGCCACCGTGCTGGCCGCGCTGCAGTGCGGCCGCACCGTCGTGCTCTCCGGTACCTCACTACTGCATCTACTCACACTCCTTCTCACTCCCACCCTTGCATCCAATGGCACGGCATCACGCTGCTGCCGGCGGAGGCGGGCGGCGCCACCGTGCTGGCCGCGCTGCAGTGCGGCCGCACCGTCGTGCTCTCCGGTACCTCACTACTGCATCTACTCACACTCCTTCTCACTCCCACCCTTGCATCCAATGGCACGGCATCACGCTGCTGCCGGCGGAGGCGGGCGGCGCCACCGTGCTGGCCGCGCTGCAGTGCGGCCGCACCGTCGTGCTCTCCGGTACCTCACTACTGCATCTACTCACACTCCTTCTCACTCCCACCCTTGCATCCAATGGCACGGCATCACGCTGCTGCCGGCGGAGGCGGGCGGCGCCACCGTGCTGGCCGCGCTGCAGTGCGGCCGCACCGTCGTGCTCTCCGGTACCTCACTACTGCATCTACTCACACTCCTTCTCACTCCCACCCTTGCATCCAATGGCACGGCATCACGCTGCTGCCGGCGGAGGCGGGCGGCGCCACCGTGCTGGCCGCGCTGCAGTGCGGCCGCACCGTCGTGCTCTCCGGTACCTCACTACTGCATCTACTCACACTCCTTCTCACTCCCACCCTTGCATCCAATGGCACGGCATCACGCTGCTGCCGGCGGAGGCGGGCGGCGCCACCGTGCTGGCCGCGCTGCAGTGCGGCCGCACCGTCGTGCTCTCCGGTACCTCACTACTGCATCTACTCACACTCCTTCTCACTCCCACCCTTGCATCCAATGGCACGGCATCACGCTGCTGCCGGCGGAGGCGGGCGGCGCCACCGTGCTGGCCGCGCTGCAGTGCGGCCGCACCGTCGTGCTCTCCGGTACCTCACTACTGCATCTACTCACACTCCTTCTCACTCCCACCCTTGCATCCAATGGCACGGCATCACGCTGCTGCCGGCGGAGGCGGGCGGCGCCACCGTGCTGGCCGCGCTGCAGTGCGGCCGCACCGTCGTGCTCTCCGGTACCTCACTACTGCATCTACTCACACTCCTTCTCACTCCCACCCTTGCATCCAATGGCACGGCATCACGCTGCTGCCGGCGGAGGCGGGCGGCGCCACCGTGCTGGCCGCGCTGCAGTGCGGCCGCACCGTCGTGCTCTCCGGTACCTCACTACTGCATCTACTCACACTCCTTCTCACTCCCACCCTTGCATCCAATGGCACGGCATCACGCTGCTAGTTACGAGTGCGTTGCCGACCTTTTAGGGATTAGGGATTTGGAGATTTATGGATTGGGGAAGGGGAAGGATTGGGCATCCATTGAAATCTTTGCTTTGCGAGCAAATAACTTCACTATAGGACAGACCTATTGGTCTTTTATTACAGACGCTGGGAAGTTGATGTTGAAAGAGAGCAACGAGGCCCCGGCGCCGGCTCCCAGCAAGGCGGCGCCGGCCCCGACGCAACCCAAAGGGGTGGTACTCACGGCCACGCCTGTCAAGTCGCCTCCGAAACCGGGTGTGAAGATATTTACTCTAAACAACAAACTTGTCGCGATGCCCAAGGACAACAAGATACCAGTTAAAAAGATTATTAACCCGCAAGACATGCAGGTCATTATACTTACTTCATTATTTATGGTAATACAAGTAACATACGAGTTGAAACAAGTATTCACTAATTAGAAATCATTTCAATTTTTTAGGTGAAATTCGTTCAATTGCCTCCAGACGCAAAATTAGTGTCTCCTTCGAAAATAGTTCCAATGAAGGCAAAAAGTAGGATGGCAGTGCGGCAGGGCACGTCCGTGACGTCACCGGCCGCTCGGCCCGCGGTCAAGATCATCATGAACAAGTCCAACTTCCACAAACTCCTCGCCACCGCCGGAGCTGCGCAGGTATCTCCGCAACCTTCTATGCAACTAAACATCAAATAAATCTAAAGAAGTTGAGTAAAAAATTAATTCTTCAAATAAAATTACAGGTTGCGACGAATGCAGGGACGGCGGCGGGCAGCGATTTATTAGACGGTGGGGAAGACGAAGCGACACTGTCAGAGGAAACCATGGCGGGCGGCGCGGAGGACGCGGGCGAGGCGGGCGACGCAGGCGACGCAGGCGACGCGGGCGATAACCCGGCGCAGTTGCGCGCGCAGCTGGCGGCGGCGACGCGCGCGCTGGCGGCGGCGCGACGCGACCTGCGGGCCGCTCGCGCGCGTCTCAAGCACTTCGAGCGCCTGCACCAAACTTTCTAGTGTACACACTACTCTGGGACCTCACTTAAGCATACCGTGATAACTATGTTATATTAACATATTATTATTGTACACGAATCTTGTACATAATTAAAATTACCTTAAAATAAGATTTCGAAATAATCTAAGCAGTTAGTTTTTTTTTGTTCAAGTTAATTCCCTGAGAAAATGTATCGTTAAACCTTTTCACCGTGTTACGTTTGCTTACCTCCAGCCCCGCGTCATATATGTAAATAAATTGAAATAGTGATGGGAACACTTAACATCGACGCAGAAATTCTTTATTTAAGAAAAAAATTAAAAGCCGGAAATAAAATCAATGTTTTATTTAAATTAATTTAAAATAACGACTTACTCACATTAATGATTTGAGAAAAGTACATATATACGTATTTATTAGCTGTACGCGCCGCAACGCGCACCCTGCTCCTAAATCAGTCCCGTTGTCCCTTGAAACTAGTAGAGATGTTCTCGGTTAAATAATTCAGAGAAATGCCGAAAAGTCAAAAATGTTTTATTTACCTACTTAATTAATAATTTAACAATGTTCAGTCTTCAATCGATTAACTAAGTATTTTAACGTCCTGTTTGGTTACCAAATCAGTACTCGGAAGATGGGCACGTAATTTGATATTCTGACAATTCTCCACGAGCATGTCGTATTAAATTTAATATTTTCATTTTAACTTCAGAGCCGATTTTCGGTTGTACAATTTCCAGCTCAATCCAGTTCAAAAGCTATTAAAGATGAAAAGAGGATTTCTTTTGCATTTAGAGTATTTTAGAGTTCCACAGAATAACACGAAAAGGTTTACAAACACTAGTTGCATTGAGCGATGAATTTTTACCCGTGATTTCACGATGACGGCGCTAAGGCAACTGACAATACAGCGTGATTTAACCTTGAATCTCTTTGGCCGCACGTAATATTACGGTGACGGCGACCGGCTACTAGTGACGTTCCGCGTAATGAAAACTATATTTTGTCGTAAATTTTGTACTTAAATAGAGTTTGTGCACTATCAGAACTTTTTTTGTAAAATAATGTAATTATACGTGTGTGGCGATTCGGACACAAATTTCAGAGCCCGTAATATTACGGTATCGGCGGTGAAAAGGTTAATAACAGTTTTCATGTGAATATTGTAAAGTAGACCGGTAGACCAAATAAAGTAAAAATGTATTTTAAATATAATTAAGGAAATTAAAGTTCTAGTTTTGAAAAAGTGTTTATTAATCCGTGAAGTAATGACAAGGCGGCTAGGGGTCGCGGCGACCGCGCGCCTGTAGTACGTCCCGGAACTGCGCGAGGATAGCGTTCTCCCGCTTGGCGCGCTCCTCCTTGCTGAAGGCGGCGAGAGCTCGCTTCTCGTCGGCCGAGTAGATCTGGTTCTCCTTACGGATACGCACAGCTTCCATGCGCCGGTGCCTGCACACATTGATCACTTACAACATTTGCAAATAGCTGTGATATATAAATACAATATAAACTAGTATATTTGTGTTGTTCAATGCCCAGGACATAAGTAGTTCTTTGCCGTCCACTGTTAAAGCAATAGGTACGTTTACTACCGCCATAGAATAAAAAATAGAACAGACAGAGAAAGTCCACCCGGCCCACTCATTGAGTTTGAGCACTTGAGCACTTGTACAAGTGCGCTAGTATGCTACGCCTTTTCTTTTTAAGTAAGTTAATGAACAACCAATCACAAGGGGTCTCAGAGCTACACAGTGGTGCTATGATCCAAATGACATTTAGGTCTCAGTTGACATACTCGTAAATACGTAGTAAGTACCAATTAAATCTTTGATGAAGCAGATGTAAAATCAATGGAACATGATGAAACGATTATAAATTGACTAAGATACCTGCTGCCGCTCATAACATATCCAACAGACTCATAGGAAGCAATTTCATCAGAAGTAAGTCCAATCTCTCCCCTGCGCGGTATCCTCTTGCCTTCCGCGACGTAGGCAGCCATGGCTGCTCCCTCGCCGGGCAGCAATGCTCGTCCAAAGTCTTTGTGACCTAAAGCAGGTCCCACACGAGGAGTGGGGCCAAATGCCTCAGTTGCCAGCTCTTCATCACACTTTTTAGATGACTTTAATTCAGATTCTACTTCATGTTCCTCTGCAAATAGAAGTAGTCATTATCAATTATATATTAATAATTTCTGAGTTACCAAGTATTATAATGCATCATATCACAACAAACAACCTGAGGTGCTTTTGTCACTGGCCTAGTTGTTGGCTGTGGTACAAGTCAACAAGCCAGGTCTGCCACCAGCTGCAGACAATATTTGGATTGGTGACCAATAGACATGAGCAAACCGTAACATCCACAAAGTGCTTGATGCAGTATTTTTTTACAATTTAATAAACATGCTCAATGTATTCTATATATTGGTTAAGAATTTAACTCTGCCGAAATAATGATACATAGCAGCAGCACTTACTTCCTTTTTCAACCCACACCTCCTCCTCACTACTGGAACTGGACTCACTGCTATTACTTTTTGCTTTTTTCTTTTTAGCCTTCTTTCTTGCTTTCTTTACTTTTTTTAACTTCTTTTTCAATTTTTTTAGTTTTTCTTTAGTGTCTTTGTCTTTAGACTTTTTATTACTCTTTTTCTTTTCTTTATTGCTTCTTGAGAGTTCAGGTTGTGTCTGCTCCTCCTCTGACCTATTTATAAACTAAATTTAATGTAACAAGAATAGTTATTTGTTTAGAACAACATTGGAAAATTGGAAAGATATTTATTTTGTAAGTAGGTAAGCTACAAAATAACACTTACATGTCAATGTATGTCAGCCTCATTTAGGTAAGTTATTACCTAAATGAGGCTGACATATCCTAACTGACTACTATGAGATGATATGCCAAACAATGTTAGAGGTATCTTTAAACTGCTGACAAATATAACAAAGCATAATCATCAACATCAACTAGTGAGCGGCCCCACCACAACTGATGACCTTTGTATCAGTGTCATGTAATTAGCACATTTCTTTTTGTTTGCAGATTTTAATAATATAAGATAGCAGCAGAAACTGTACAATATTCTAAATAAATAATTTTGAACTCTGTATGACTATCTGTGTACTGTTACAAACAATTGATACCTATTCCATAATTGCTTATAGGTGGGACCAGAGCCCATTTAATTTTATGCAAGTGACTTTATTGTTGAGGTTGCATAGCACTAGTGAAAAGCTCTTTGGTACATTGCTAGGCAACTAACTGTTAGAAAAATTTAATGTCACTCGTGAATAAAAAGAAGATCATGTCGAATGTGTGCAATATATAAAACTAAATAAATAAACAAATAATTTAAATATTTTGTAACCAAATAAACCTAAATTATCGCTATAAAGTGTCAGTGTTGTCATACTAGAGAAAACCCCTACTATCTAGCCGAAATCTAAAGTGGGAAATACATCGATCACGATTTGGTCTCCGGAGCTTCCAGATTGGTAAGAAAATAAGTAGACCAAGGGGAAGAAGAGGAAATTGTAGTCGAGCCCCTGAGAGATGAGCCCCAGAGAGAAGAGGAACCTAGATATAACCTTAGAGACAGGTCAACTCTTGCTCCCCCTAAGAAGTTCGATGACTACGTCTGCTTTGTAGGCACAGAAAACTTTCCAGAGAGCTACCATGAAGCAATAAGTAGAACTGACGGTGCGGAATGGCGGAAAGCCATGGCCAGCGAGCTTCAGTCACTCAAGGAGAATAATGTATGGACACTGTGCGAGCTCCCGTCTAATAGAAAGGCGCTACCATGTAAATGGGTTTTTCGGATTAAACGACACCCAGATGGAAGCATAGACAAATATAAGGCGCGATTGGTCGTTAAAGGGTTCAGACAACGGAAAGGGCTAGATTATGAGGAGACATATAGTCCGGTAGCCAGGATGTCTACCATTAGAGCTCTTTTAAGCGTTGCTGCACAAGAGAAACTTCATTTAACACAATTTGACGTCGCGACAGCCTTTTTAAATGGGAAATTAGAGCAGGAAATATACATGTCACAACCTCCTGGCTTTTCTGATGGCTCTTCGAAAGTATGCAGGCTACAGAGGAGTCTATATGGCCTAAAGCAAGCTCCTCGTTGCTGGAACATGTGCATTGAAGACATTCTGTTGCAAAAAGGATTCACACAGAATGAAGCTGATTGTTGTCTCTTTACAAAGACAGAAGGGGGCAATAAGATTTTGTTGGCGTTGTACGTGGATGACGGACTCATGGCCACTACAAGCGAGGCTTTGGCAACTAAATTTTTGAAGGAGCTGGGACAAGCTGTCAAAATCACAAGCAAGCCGGCTTCGTATTACCTTGGCCTTGAAATAGAACGTTCCAAGGATGGATCTATATTTATAAGCCAACAAGCTTATACGCGGAAGATCCTCGAACGCTTCAATATGATTGACTGCAATCCCGTCTCTACACCAATCGAAACAGTGACTTCAGAAACAGGGAAAGCACCTGAGAAAAAGTTTCCTTATCGAGAGGCAGTAGGAGCCTTAGCATACCTGATGACAGGGACGCGCCCCGATATCGCGTATGCTGTTGGGGTAGTATCACGGAAGTTGGAGAATCCGACAGAAGCTGATTGGCTGAGAGTCAAGAGGATCTTCAGATACCTTAAAGGAACAATGTCCCATGGCATCAAATACAGTTCGGGTCCTTGCAAAGCTGTAATTCGAGGATATAGTGATGCAGATCACGGTGGTGATGAGCTTAGTGGACGCTCAACCACAGGCGTTATTTGTATGTATGCTGATGGAGTTGTTTCGTGGCTAAGCCAACGTCAAGCATCGGTCGCGATTTCAACAACCGAAGCGGAAATTGTGGCAGCGAGCGAAGGTGCACGAGAACTTGTGTGGCTTCAGAGGATCTATGCTCAACTTACAAGTTTGGCGGACATATCAACTTTAAGCGTGGATAATGAAGCAGCCATTCGCCTTGCCCACAATCCCGAATTTCATAAACGGACGAAACACATCCGAATACGTCACTTCTTTGTACGTGAAATTGTGCAAGAAGGTCTATTGAATGTGCAGAAAACTAGCTCCACAGAGCAATTGGCTGACCTTTTGACGAAGGCAGTACCAAGACCCAGACTCGTTAAACTGAGAGAGGATTTGGGTCTGCAAGATCTTTCCAACTAGTGAGGGAAAGTGTTGAGGTTGCATAGCACTAGTGAAAAGCTCTTTGGTACATTGCTAGGCAACTAACTGTTAGAAAAATTTAATGTCACTCGTGAATAAAAAGAAGATCATGTCGAATGTGTGCAATATATAAAACTAAATAAATAAACAAATAATCTAAATATTTTGTAACCAAATAAACCTAAATTATCGCTATAAAGTGTCAGTGTTGTCATACTGGAGAAAACCCCTACTATCTAGCCGAAATCTAAAGTGGGAAATACATCGATCACGATTTGGTCTCCGGAGCTTCCAGATTGGTAAGAAAATAAGTAGACCACGTTTAATATTTATTACTTACTCTGCTCTTAATGGAGACTTGCCCCACACAGAAGACACACCAATTTGACCAATCCTCTCCCTTTCTTCTCGTCTAGCATCAAAAAATTCCTCCTCTTGTGGCTTATACCGACCTCTAACTGAAGGACCACCTCCTCCTAAACCTGAAGAGATGTAAACATGGCTGGGTAATTACCAGATTCAATAACAAACAAGAAGCTATGCATTTCCTAATATAATGAGCGAATACATCTAAGTAGTAGATATACTAACCACCCCCTAGCCCTCCTCCACTGTAATCCTTATAGGAACTGCGTCCTCTGTCATGTTCTCTCTCCCGAAAGTGTGACCTGCTCTCATCATGATTTCTCGAGCGTGTGCGCTCATCTCGACTGCTTTCACCATCTTTACTTTTTCCCCAGTTGCGATGATGGCCGACTCCTTCTCTACTGCTGTGGTCTCTGCTACGATCACGTTCACTTCTTTCCTTACTTTGATCTCGAAATTCACGACCCCGGTCATGACTCCGAAGCCTTTCGCGACTTCGGGTTCTATGTCGACCACGTTCATAGTCGCCACCCATCACTTTTGTCTAATTAATCGTGTGTTAGTCGTCCTAAATTATTAATTATGAGGAGATTAAGTTTTAATATACAGTACAATGCAAAATAAATATGACAATGACATTGCTAACGTCAAAGTCAGAGCTAAAGAGAATATAAGCGGAAATAGTGAAGCGTACTTATCGTCACAAACATAAGTAATAGGTATCGCACAAATACTAGATAACAGTTAGTTGTTTTCGCGATCAGGAATAACAAGTATTAACGGTAACAGTTGTTCTCAAACTCAACAATCTCAACTCAACAAATTGTTAAAAACTAACAGTGGCATCAATTCCGTATCATTTAATGTAAAATCCCCGTCTCAAACATGATGCCTACATAAGAATTGGCGATGCAAAGATTATCCACACGAAATTTAGAAACTGTCTAAGAGTGACGCTGTTTGTTTATTTGTTGAAGTTATGTTAGATTATTCAGATGGATCACGATTATAAACGGAAACTTGTTGCTAATAAAAGCAGAAATACAAAATATTGTTGCGTTCCTCGATGTAGTACTTACGGAGACACGGGAATAAGTTTTCATTTATTCCCAAAAAACAAAATTATAAAGAAAAAATGGAAGACTGCTTTAAGAATACGCAAGAAAATTTCACCATCAATGAGAGTTTGTTCTCATCATTTTCAAGCATTAAACTTTTTTCCAAACAGAAAGTATAATTATGTTTTCATTATTTAATTTTACATCAATTATATTTATATCTATGTATTTCATAAGTTATTTATTTAGTTTTCACTAAGGCGAGTTTCTCGTCAAATAACGAGATTGTGGTTATTGTTCCAGATTATAAAAGGCACAAGTTGTTTCCCTATATACCGTCTCAGAATATTCCTCAAAAATAAGCTCCGATAAAGAAGTACTAGACTACTGTACTGCCGTATTATTTTTATGTAGTGATATTTAATTCCTATGTAAGAACAAAATCTAACAGTGTAACGTATCGTCCGACACGACACGCAAATGTATTGTATGTGAGTGTATGACGCAATAGGTGTTCGTGCTTTTCTGTTGTGTGACTTGTGTGACGTCAACAGTAATCGTGTTCGTAGTTTTAACCACAATAAAAATATTATTTTGTCTACTGCACTGAATGACTCCGTGCGGTGTTTAATCCTACAATAATAATTCTAGGTTTTCTTTTTAGTACAGTATTTACTAAAAATGAAGTTATCTACGCCTCGATATACGTTTTGTTTATTTTTTCAAGTCATATTCATGCTTTGTGATCTTTTATTTAATTGTGTAAGTTTATTCCCCAGAAGCCGCGATGGATTACTTGTCCTTTTCATGTAAGACAGATTACGTTGAGGTTTTTTTTAAATGCCACTATTTGCATATAATTCAGAAATTAATTTAAATCAATTTGTAACTTGCAGATTTCAAGACCTATTCCTTGTACTATCCATCACAACGATGTTAATGACTTTCTTCTCAACATATTTGTTTCAAGTAAGAAAAAAAATATTCATGGCTTATTAATAGGTAAAGAAAGAGAAAGAAAAAGCTGTTATTTTTTTATCAGTGCATATGAATTTTCAGTCTGTTATTGTACAATAGCTACATTTTGTTGTATAACAAAGAAATATTCCATCTTGCAGGCAGGTCTGGTGGAAGTGCTGGTGCGGAAGTTCCGAGCAGCGGGCTCAGTGTGTGTGGCCTACATTGTAGCCAGTGTTGCATTGCATGCGGCATGGTTGCTTGAGAAATGGGCAGAACCTGAGTCTGTGTCAACTCCTTTGCTAATTTGCTTGTTTACTCTTCAGAGATGCTGTGAGTTGAATAGTATATAAACATAGATCATACCCTCCCTGACAATCTGTATTTAAATGATTTTTTTCTTTTCAGTATCACCATGGTATTACTTCTTCTACAAGAGAGCAGCACTTAGAGTCAGCGACCCTCGCTTCTATGAAGATATTGACTGGATCAATCAGCAACTGCAAGCTCACTAAATGATAGAGTAGAGAATTATCAGTAAAAAGAAATGGTCCCTTGAATTGACATGAAGTAATCATTCTGTGCTGATACACCTGCTGCATTTGTTATGATTTATGAATGTGTGGGAAGTCTGGTTTCCCAAATCTTGGAAATGCTAGAATAAATGCATATTTATCAAGAAATTATTTTTTTGGATCCTATATCAATTAGACCATGCTTCTTCTTGCTAGTTATACCAATTAAGATAGGACATATAAAAAAATTGATTACCCAAATATAGTTTGTATGTAGGGTATAATCTTTGGTACCGCTGGTCGGATTGCCAAAATTCTTTCACTGATAGGTAGCTACAATATTCCTGAGTATAAAACATCACGCTACGATCAAATGGAGCCGAGCAGCGGGTGAAACCGCGCGAGAGTAGCTAGTACCTACATGTATAAATTAATTGATAAACATTAACCGTTATCTATCTATACTTATAATAAATCTCTAGAGTAAACGAAAAATCGCGTGTCCGTTACCCAGGCCAGATGTTGTCGACAATGGTCATTTGAATCTTATAGATAATTAGTTGTGCGGCTTCTGTAATTGTTGCGCACATTTTTAAATTTGTTGAGCTTGTAGTTTTTTAATTATTTCACAAAAACATTTCCTGCTGGCGTAACGTTACCACAGCCAGACCTTTTTCTTTCTAATGGGAATATTTTAATAAATGTTAGCTATAAAATTAGTTGTCTAGATAAAGTAAATGTTGTGCCTTATTTTGTATTTGTTCTTTCTTCGGTTGCGAAGTTATTCGAGATTTTGCTGCGGTAACGTTTTTGGTTTTGCTAGATCTTTGAAATGGTTAAGCGGATTCTTATCATATTTTGTACACGACTTCCGAGGACTTAGTTTAAATTTGTTGTGCAATAACAAAACCAAAATAATGCATATGTCGGAGCGACGATTATTTAAATTGAATTTTGAAGGAGGTTTTATCACAATTCATCGGACGAGGGTACCATAAATCGTACTCTGGCGGAACGTCAAACTGGCAGTTCTGCGTGCGCATGGTGGTGGAGAGCGAGCGTTGTGACTGTCATCTGAGGCGGATCGCCGACGTCCGTTATTTTTGTAATTTATTCGGCCTGATTATAAAATCCTACGCCCTACGATGGACTGTGAAGACGATGATCGGGTTGTTGATGTTTGTACCAACCCCCCGGTGCCTTCATCAGAAGTGGGATTTGATGGGAAACCATCTAATATTCCGAAAGTACGACCTGTAACTGACGCGGATAAAGACGCAGTCATCTGTTTTTCATGCCACGTTTCTACTGCTTGCTTAGAGAAGAAGATCAGCGGTGTAACATTTGAAGAAGTCATCATTTGCCATAGAGCTTCCAAAGGCTTGTTGGAGACATCTACGGGTGAGGAAGTTCCTTTTCTTTGTTATAACGGGTTATCATGCTCCTTATCTGCGTGTTCATATGATTGAACCAACGACTGTATTGATAACGCGCGAAATAGTTCCCGAATTAGAGATTTGTTAGTTGATGGTTGTACCTAGTTTCATGTGGGTGACGTGAATGACTGTGAATTTAATTGTGAGTTGGCGTAGCTGATCGTTGGGAAGGATAGTGACGTCCGGTCTATGTCACGTGGTGTCTAGTCGGAGGGACGCACTAGTCTGACCCAGGCAGGTGATCTGGTGAGCTGGTCGAAGGGATGATGTGGTCTTGCCGGAGCATGTTGGCTGGTGGTAGAGACGCATATATCCGGTCCATGCACATCAATCGCTGAGGCCGTATCTGTGTGGTTTGGGATAAGTTGTTTCATAGTTTTGGAAGTAGGTACAACTGAAAATGATGATAATGTTACATCGATGTTGAGTGCAGTAACCAGACGATGTTGAGAAAGCGCATGTTAGTCAGGATGAACGAGCAGCGTGCTATACACGTGAAATCTTCCTTCTGTTCCAGAACTACCACATAACTAGGATCGCTCGAGGACGAGCGAATGTCAGTCTGGCCGTGTCGGAGCGACGATTATTTAAATTGAATTTTGAAGGAGGTTTTATCACAATTCATCGGACGAGGGTACCATAAATCGTACTCTGGCGGAACGTCAAACTGGCAGTTCTGCGTGCGCATGGTGGTGGAGAGCGAGCGTTGTGACTGTCATCTGAGGCGGATCGCCGACGTCCGTTATTTTTGTAATTTATTCGGCCTGATTATAAAATCCTACGCCCTACGATGGACTGTGAAGACGATGATCGGGTTGTTGATGTTTGTACCAACCCCCCGGTGCCTTCACATATTTTAAAGGTTTTTTTATTAAATATAAAAACACTTCAATTGGCCCCAGCACTCTCAATAAGAAGTCTAAAGACTTACTTTAAACGTAATTTTAAAGCTTGTAACTGCCTTCAAATGTATGTGAAGTTTCATTAATATCCCGTAAGTATTTAACAAGTTATGATGATATTCAGTTCTTCACGAGCACGGTCTTAATGCACGCGGTGTTATTTGGCCACTGGAATGGATATATGAACTGAATGTTATGTCAATGATTAGTTGTTTAGATCAGCTGTATATCAGTAAAATTTCAGCTCAATACATTGGATAATTAATGAGATAATACTATTAAAGTCATTAGGAAGTGAATGACCGTGGTAAGCCGACCAAGTTTAGGTGGTTACGAAAAAGCGAAAACGCAGAACATTATGGTACCTTCTAAAATATGTAGGATAGTGTCATAAATTTAGTACAGACATGTACAAAAGTTTAAAAAAAACTACATGATTATTCAAGATTTTTTATTGAAAGGTAAAATAATCATTTCAGTTGAACTTTTACTCCCTTACTTATAAAAACTTGTGTTGCTTAGCAACCGATTAAACATCACCCGTCCCTGTCATTTCTATTTCAAAATGCAGTTCAAAAATCATCTAAAAGGTTACAAAAGTAACCTTCTGGCAAGACTGAGTGCGTGATGCAAACAATGTATTACCCCTTCACCCCACTCCTCCTGCGTCCTACCGAACGGCATGCTCTAGCGGTGATTTGTGATAATTTTGTGGAACTGGAAGATAATGTTTTCTATTATATTATTATTATATAGGTATTTAACAGTGTACGCGTCTGTACCAAAATTGTAAGGTGTATTATACTAAACATTTCAAAAGATAGTACAATGT